TGTTGTTTGTCTTATAATAATGTGTAAACAAATTCTTTTCTTATTTCTGCCATGTATGTGCACCTGTACACTTTATTCAATTTAAACAGGAACGCTGTCCAAGAATACCTTATAAATCTAAAGTTCTCTCATTCTCACGCTTACTGCGATGAAATCAAGTTATCTAGTTCCAGAACTTTTCAGCACTTGTGTCCAGTTTTGTTTCATTGCACTTCATGTCATTACATATTTGAAGGGGGATTTAAAGAATGTAGACAAGGATTGTATGTCACTGGCGTACATTGAACCCCAAACAATGAGAAAGTGAAACTGAAACAGCGCAGGTGTTAGTGTGACACCCTAACATTAATAAGATGGGAACATGAATGTAAGCCCAGACACAGCGGGACACCTGTTCATCTGTGTCTAGTATAGATACCAAATATGACCCTAACATTATACCATCACAGGTGTTAGATTGTACCACTTTAGAGTTTGATAAGTTGTGAATCAAATAATTCATCCCAATTCTTCTTAAAACATCATACAACATAAGAATATTTGATGCTCATTCGTTGACTGCCTAACAAAGCTGTAATCAAATTACTATCTTGTTGATACCAAATTTGAAGTCAAATTCACTCGTTCATGATGATATTCTGAGAAAGATGATAAGATCTTAATATTTTCATGGTAATTCTGGTACAATATGTTTCAATCTTGTGATTGAATCAAATGGAGTTATGATTGCATTTCTTTAACAATGTATTATGTTCAAGTTTTTGTAAGTGCACATAAGTTTACATTTTACTCTTGTCTGCTGGCACACAAAAAGACCTTTTTAAATTGACTGGTGTAATTAATGCCTAGGTCACATTTGCTGCTATTTCTTTAAAAATCAATTCCTGAGTCATCAAATGACTAGACTTTGGGTCAAAATTTCAAGGCTTTCCCAACTTCTTAGACATTATTGACAGGTTAGAAGCATTGTTTGATGGACTTGGACACACCTTTTGTTTCCTGGTGTAGTTGTAACACCAGTTCTGTCTGCTTGCACAGGTAATTTCCTCCTGCGAAGTATGTCAGCCACACATCCCTACATTCTCAAGGACTAGACTGAGCCAACAGAATAAGAATCATGCTTAATAGGCATACATGACAACAGCGGTGTACTGGTGGGGGCTTGGAGGTGAATGGAAAAAATTAAATAAAAAAAAAGGAAAAGAAAGCAAAAGAAGAAAAAAATTGGGGTGAAAGAATACCCCCCCCCCCTAAAAAAAAAATATATAAATATAAATTAAGTACATTTATCCTTAAATGGGCACCACTGACACTTTATAATTCTAATAAAATGTTATCCAAGTAACTGTCAATGTTATAGACTTGTATCAAATTCTCTCATCATCATCATCATATCCAAAGCTCACATGTCAATGTAATTTAATAAGTCACTACCATCAGCAGCATATCCTCCTCCTCCTTCTAATTATCATCATCGTCATTATCATCATCATCATCATCATCATCATCATTACCTTCCTCCTCATCCTCCTCATCCTCCTCATTATCATCATCATCCTCATTATCATCATCATCATCATCATCATCATCATTATCATCATCATCATCAGCACCATCCTCATCATTATCCCCATCACCATCATCATCATCATCATCATTTCCTTTTTCTTGCTTAGGTCATTTCTTATAACTGCTAAGATTGGCTTGTCTAAAATTGCCTTGCATGATATCATTTATCTTAAAACATACTATTATTTGAAACCCTGTCAATCAAATTCAGTCTTGGAAAAAAGAAAAGCAGCCATAAAATTGTTCCTTTTTACAAATAATTTATTCAGCACATTTCATATATAACATCAGAAATATTTCTGTACACACAATACACAACTTTAACTACAATAGACAGTGGTTTAAACAAAAACTACAATGAAAATCTGTACAGTAGTCTCAAAACACACCAACAAAAATGTTACTAGATTTGCATCCCTACTTTTGTCTTTTTTTCCATTTCCCTTGCCCTTCATGATTTTAAATAGCAAAATGAAATAAGTAACAGTTGAAGAGCACTAAACATAACATGACCATTTCTCTATCTAATCCTTGCACTATGTGCTAGTAATACTGGATTGCACTTTTTCAACCTCTGTCTTTATTTACAAGTGTATATTTCAAAACTCCCAATTCTCTAAGCTGCAGAAATAAAGATATTTTCATTGTTACTACACAGCATAGAAGAACATAATGCTCAGCTAGTAATGTGGAAATTGGATGAAATAACTTAGACAAGAAATAAATCTCATGAAGGTAATTGTCTTCTTCAAGATTGTTCATTTGCCATTCTGCTAAATTCAGAAAGATTTTGAAAAGGCATTTTGAAGATGAAACATATTTCTTGCAAAGATTCCATTAGTAATATTATTGAATTCAGTATAGTATATATTATTGAATTCAGTATAGTATATATTACTGGAAGTTTGCTATGCTGACATACCTACATCATATACAAAAATCTTCTGCTGCAGAGTTTATTACATTTTTAAATGTTAATTCATTAACCTCAATAGTTTGGTGATAGAAGTGATAGAAAACTTGAAGATCATACTGGCAATTTGATGTTGGTTTTCTCTTCTTTTTCAATTTAATGTTGGTTTTCATTTTCCTTTTTTTTTTTTTTAAATGCCAGGTTAACCAACCCATTGCCTACAGGAAATGAGCAATGTTTTGTATCGGAAAAAGATATTTCAGTATTCAGTAGGTTAAGATGTTTGGTTAGATCATGTGATGATCAATCTGGATTGGTTCATTTGCTTCATCTATTCTAGTCCTTGGTAAAGGGAAGGAACTGGTTGAAAGTGAACCACCAACCCTAATGTTTGAACAGATTTAACCTTAAAAATGTCACCTCCCCCCTAAAACTTCCACACCCATGACTCAATAATAGAATTGTAATGATTAGGTCTTTATTCTTTTATACAAAAAGAAAAAGAAAATGGTTGTATGGGCCTTTGTAGTTACTTCTTTGACAATGATTTAGGCATCATTACAAAGACTCACTTTTAAAAACTTGATTCTATATTACTGCCTCACAATAAACAAATGATAATCACATTTCTTTTAGCACTAGATTGTAAAGATGAAATGTACTGTTTACTCAATATGGTAAACCCAAACATTTGTGTATATAAATGTGACAGTTTGCTTTTTGTTTGAGAATTTTAAACTTTACATGTAAAGTGTACAGGTTTATAGTGACATCATTAAATCAATAAGCTTAAATAAGTACATGTTGCAACTTCTTACCACTATGGTTTCATTACAGTCTATTGAAAGCCAGAGAGGAACTAATGTCATGTTAAAGATAATACAAAGTTTTAGTAATATTTCTACTGGATTGGATTATGAAATTTAAAATTTGCATTACCATTGTGAAACCTAGTGTTAAAATAAGCAACTTTGAACAAATTTGGATCTCAAACGCTAAGGATTTTGAGAATTTTAATTTATCAAATTTATTGGTGCTCCCGATAACTTACAAATAGCGCCTACGGCCATACAATGGTAGCTGCAACCATGAAAATCTCGGAATATGCAGTTCTGATATATAATTTCCAAACGGGAGTAGAAAATTGGTTGATTTTAGTCAAAAAACATTGTTTTGAAGCTATAAAGCAATATCAATCTTGAGAGGGAGCTATGCAACATAAAAAGTTTATTATTCACAATTTCATCACTTTAGAATCGATTTCAACCCTGACAGCGATCATTAATATTGTAGGCTCTCATATGCTTCCAACATGTTCATTTGAAGCAAATTCATGACCCCATACCAAAACTTTGTATTACCTCAAAACTAAGCAGCTCCCTTTTAATTGTCAACAAATATAATGATGATCCTTCTTGCATGCTATGACTATTCAAGTTTGATAATAATAAGAAATTCCTTTAACAGAATATACAATAATTCTCTAGAAAAGTAAGCATTAAGATTTGCTTAGAGTGTTGCCTAATTTTCTACTAAGACATGCACCTGTAAAGTTTTCTGTGATTTGGAAAAGTCAAACATTCATGAAGTTTGTGTCTGTCTAGATGTCACTATTTCAGTCTAATACTGTCACTGTTTTATGTAAAGGAATACAGGGATAAGTGCCTATAAAAAGGGTAGCAACTAACTGCAACACCATTAAACCTTTTATATAAAGACCACCGGTACAAAAAGATTGATAAGAAAAGTAGTTTTTATATGTAGGTGGGTTACAGGTTCCTTTGATCCAGTTTTCATTGAGAAACTTACCTCACAGGGAAACAAAATGATGTCCTATTTGACAGGTGGTCTTTCTATACAGGTGGATGCAAAGGATGTTTGAATGTATATAGTACTGCCCAAACATTGCTAAAACTCAATACAATGATGACTCAGTGAAGATTCAGCAGTGAGAGCATTCCTAATAAATAATATAGTTTTCACAAATACAACCCTACAACATGTGCAACGTGGCAGCAAAGAGCTTCCATGAATCTGACCATCTTTTACTAAGATCTTATATCAAATGCACTTATTGGAAGAATCACAAGTATTATTGAATGATTTAATTATCCTGTATCTTGGCAACTGCATATCAAATGATATTGTCTTGAACTGGGCCCAGTTTGAAAAAACTTGTTATTAATAACAAGTTATATTAACTTGTTACTAGCTTGTAACTTGTAGCTCACAAATAAGCTACTGAAATCGTGTTATTTGATTGGCTGAGAGCAAATTTGTCATAGAAATTTAAAATTTGTTATTGACAAGAAGTTTTATGAAACAGGGCAAAGTTCAAGTTTGAAAGCGAATAAAGACTTTGATTTTTGTTTTTACTTCAAAGACAAGGAATCCAAGGGCTTGTTCTTTAAACACAAACTTGATGCTGATTCTTCCTAGGTGATCTGACAAATGTTACTCAATCGACATTTGCTCTGAACTTTAAGGTAAGGGTTAGGTATGCTATGGGGCTTTTGAATGTGTTAGATACAATGTTTGGTTGAACTTTGAAGTCAGGACTTTTGTGAGTGGAGGACAATGACTGCAGAGAACTAGCCACACCAAATAATTTATTGTGAAGTAGCTTCCTCGTTCAAAAGGCTCAACAGTCATTAGAGGTTGTTTTTTCCCAGATGCAAGGATACTGTATCTTTTATTCAGAATAGAACAGGGAAAGAAACAGTCCATCTCTGGGGTTTTATTTTTTAATCATCATTCCATCAAAGCAGTTGATGTTTCCAGTGCTGTTCTAGTTCCATTAAGTAAAATTTGAAGGTATTTGACAGGTGGCCTTTGTCCTTCTCTTCTCTCCTGTTTCTTCTGTCTTCTCCTCTCTTTGGCCGCGGCACAGCGCCTTATGTATCTCGTCGCGGAACTCTTGCATCGTGGTCTAGTTTTAGGTACATCGGCGGCTAGGCGTTTCATTTTGTTGCGATGTCTCCACACCGCTTCCCGAGCATTGTAGCAAAGGTTGTAGTTTCTTGAAGGTTCCCATAGGCAAGTGTCGTTGGCCCATATGCAGTGGCTGTACTGCGTCTCACAATCGTGCGACTTGTAGAAGAGAGATGCAACAGGGTTGTAACGACAACTTCCGTCATCCCAAAGAGGGGACTTATCCACATATGAAGCCGTATATTTGTCTTCGGAATGAGTGTCTATATTGATGATTCCAATTACGCCTCTTATCTGAAAGAGAATTCAAAGATATTATAAAGTCAATTAAAATTCTTGAATGAACTTTTCATGTGATGCTGCTTAAATCTTAACATACCACTCAACTTATGTACCTGTGCCACATATCTAAAGGGGTATTTTTGTTAATTGATTCCAGTGTATTTTTGATTTTCAGGTGTATAAATTCACAAATCACATGTGATAAAATAGGTGCCATGGAATCAACTAAGACCAGAAAAGGATCAATATGCTAAGAGATTGCAATGCTCAGTGCAACCCATCTCTTACTTGGTACCTGCCATAGCACTCATGTCCTGACACTCATAGCAATTCTTTGATTGTGCAATCAGCCCTCACGATGTTGTTAATACACTTTGATGGATCTAGACTACTAGTACTTGATCTTCACTTTTGGTAATCATGCCCGGAAAGTCATTCCATGATACATCTTACAGGCTTGGAAAATTGTCCTGCTCTTTGCTAACCTAGCAATTTTCAACCAAATGAAGATGATCATTAATGGGTATATGATAATCCAACCAATCAACTCACCCTACAATCGGCGCAGTTATTGCTGTATTTAGATGTCAGGCCGACTAGTTGCTCCTCAGTTAACTTATCCCATTCGAACCACATATCACAGTATGTCACGTAGTTAAGGTCCAGTTTGATACGACCTATCGGGTGGAAAAAGATTGTAATTTAGGTTTTTAAAATGAGGGAAGATCAAATAAGGTATCAAGAAATTCAGTAAGAATGCTGTTAGCTCGAAGGTGTACATGTAGTGAAATCTCTTTTTGTAATGTAAATTTCACTTGAAATCTTCAATTCTTGCCATCCAAAATATTGACAGAATAAGAATAGGAATGAAAAAAATTCTGTAGAAATGATTGCAATCATTGGAGAAGTTTGTTCCAATAGACCATATTTAAAGTAGATTTCTACAAAACAAGACGTTTTTCTCCCCTACTGTTAGGATACCGTTAGGAACCCGTTATACAATATAAAATTGACAACTTTGTTAGAGAAATATCTACACATTTGAGAGAATTATAAAACATCAAATTTATATATAAATCTTGAAATTGCTTATTTATAATTATATTGCAATTTAAATCTCTTATTTTTTTCTGAAAACTCTGATAAAGGAAAATTAGTAATGATTTTGGTTCTGGTGATATCTTTTTTAATTATTCTTGCATAAATGATATGATTCATGTATTGTATTGTATGTCTTGTTGATTCCAGGAGACTAAATTTAGGATTCTTCCAGATCAGCTCAGTAGATTTCAAGAGGAAAACAGGTTATATGACATATATATAAAGTCTGGTGCAAATCTAGATCTGAACAACATTCATTGTTTGTCTGAATGTTTATCTGAATGTTTTGGTAGTTTAATAATGGAGTGATTTATGTAAGTACGATTAATCTGAGTACAGCAAATGACATTCTCTCTGAAATTGGGTTATTGGATTCTTTGCAATTACAAGCTAAAATAGAAACTCATTTAGCATTAAAAAATAAATCCTAATTAAAGTATGTTTTTTGACGAGAGTGATTAATGATAGTTTGTAATGGATTAGGCATATTTTTGCTAAAGTATTCAAGAGTATACCCCTAAATGAGAGAGATTAGGCTATGTTTGTGGTAAATAATTAGAGAGCCAGAGCAGACTCATTTAGGGAAGGGTTTTTTGGGTGGGGGGCAAGGGTGAGAATATTTTTCGTACGTTTGGGACTGTAATTTCAAAGCTCTGAGGAAACTGGAAAAAATTCTGAATTTTAATAGCAAAGTGTTCATCCCATAAACAAATTTAATGAGTAAAGGTAAAGCACTAAACTATATCCAACCTCCTTATCAAGTGTAGTAATCTTACTTAGTATATTACGGTAAACAATGAAAAAATGAACATACAAATTGCACTTAGCAGCCAGTGATTTACAATTTGATTGGTGATGAAACATCAAATATAGGGCTGCAAAGAACTAAATCAGTTTAAATACTTGTTCGATTTACCTGATAGTAGATATACATCATCAATGATTAATCCAGTAACACCGCAGAGTCCACCAGCATCGGGAGACTGGACCCATATCTCATCAGCTTCTCCTAGGAAATCTCCTCCCTTGAACACGGTCAGGAGCTCCACACGGTAGCCGATCAAGAAACGATAATTCAACGGACGACTCTTGTCCGGATGCTCAATCCTCTTCCTCTCTAGGATTTTAGCCTGGATAACTGTTCCATTCATTGAAAATTATGAGGGAGAGAAGAGAGAAGGAAATGATTTTTTACTTGGTTCTAATTACCACAATCCTGTTATGCTTTTGAATGGAAGAGCAACTGTTCTATGTAATAGTACCAACTGTTTCAAGCCATTGGAAAAGTTCAGAGAGGGGAAGAGAATAAGAAATGAGTTTACTAAGTTACGACATTCTAAATATGCATTTGGCTGCATGAACAACTTTCTTGCATAGTAGTACTAACAATTGTTTGAGGAAGATTTGGTATGTTTATGTTTTCAAGAATTTCAAATCTCAGTTGTCAAATTGCTCAGTTCTCTTCTTCTCCACCACTTTAGCCTGGATGGCTGTTCAAATCATTTAAAATTTTGAAAGATGAAGATAAAAGAAGAAACATATTTTACTCGATTGATTCCACAATCTGAAGATAATTTGGGCTTTATGAATAAGTTTTTTTGCATAATAGTATCAACAAGTTGAGTGAGGGAGAGATTGTTATGCCACAAATGTTACTGGTGTGTACGTTTTCAAGAGTTTCTTCATTTGAAAGTTTACCTGACTTTGATGTACAACAAATTGATATGTTCTCTTGAAGTACATGAATTCATAGAATCTTTTAAGTTCTTCACTTAAATTTTACTTGAAGAGCTAAATCTTAACTGAAAAGTTTTCTGGAATGTATTTTAGTACATTAAAAAAAAAAATTAAATTGGGAGGGAGGTATATTTTGGTCACAGAAAGAACTAATTCCCATATTAATGACATGTATCAAAATGTCTGATATGACAAATGCCTCATCCCACATGTATTTTTAGAATGACTTGAATCCTAAACCCAAATTTATATCTGTGCATGTGAATTTTGTTTCACATTCAATGAATTTCATTGAGTTGTTATGGCGATGAGGATGGTTGGAAACTACTTGGATGGAGTAAGAAATGTCAATCTCAGCAAAACTCTCTCTAGACCAAAGAAGATGCAACTGAGTAAGTCAGCATGCAATCAACTCTTATTACAGTGTCTGCATGGTTGAATATTGCATCAGCGAACTATAATCTAATTGTGTGGGTTTGTCTGAAATAGAATCATGTCTGACTGTCAAATCAAATCCATGATTGTCATAGTTGAAGTATTATTTTTTTCTGATTATCTTTTATTTTTGCTTCTAAATATATATTTTTTTGGAGGCATGAATCAAATAGTAAATACTTAAACAAAAGCCACCTTTTTTATTATTACAATTGAACATCAAATTGATGAGAAAAGATTAAGACTTACCAAAGTCGGAGCGGCAAAATTTACTTTGAGGATGGTCTACAAGGCAGTTACAAGCCTCACTCTGTGACAAAAACTGAAGGAAGCACACAAAGATTACACCACCACTCCAAACGAAATTTCTCAATTCCATCTCAAAATCAAGATATTTTTTTCTTCAGGAATCAAAAGATATAAACACATAAATTAGCAAAAAGAAATGAGATCCAATTTTGGAAGCACAGATGCGATGTATCCTGCGGTTAAGTATGCTGATTCGGTTATGTTCATCAAAAAAACATTGTTATTTCAGATTCCTTGGATAATGCTGATGATACTGTCCTGATACTGACAAATCTGCAACACCGACAGCTCTTTTTATATCCCCTTAGCCACTGCAGACTCTCTCGTTCGTCTAACCAGCCTCCCCCACCATCCCCTAATTAGCGCCCTACATGACTCCAGAATTCCTTTTCTACCTTCTCTTGATGTGGGGGTGGGGGCGCTGGCTGGCACGGGGGGCAGAGAGATGTCTACTCTAGATTCACAGGAACATAGAGATAGAAGAAGAGTGGAAAGAGGAAATTGTATATTTAGTAAGATTGTATTCTCAAACTACCAATCACAGTGTCTAGTGAAAAGATGTAGTCTATAAAGACACAGAAGTAGTGACGTCAAATACAGGCACCAAGATGCTGAAGTTTGTGTTATTAAACAAGAAACTACTGTGTGGTCATAATGATTCTACTTTATATAAAAGCACAAACGACTCAATTATGGATTAGTTCTAGGCTTTTTACTCACAAGTATCAACATTTTTGTAATTTAAAGTTATACTTGGTCTTTTGTTTAGAGACTAGTTACCACCACAAGAATACCGGTATCCAACATGTTGTTCTTTGACTTCTCATTGGTTGGTTAGGCATGTGCACTTCCTTGCACGTTCAAGCTTCTGTAAACTTTGTTTGTTACTTTGGTCTACATTGATGTATTACAGACTTAAGCTTTATAGACATTAAGTGTATTAGGGATTAAATGATGGCTTAATTGTATTCATGCCAATTGTTCTTGGCACAGTACCTCCATATTTCTTTCATTCTCTCCTACCATCTCTTAGCTGCCTCTCTCTCTCTCTCTCTTTCTCTTTCTCTCCCTCTCTTTCTCTCAACTCTCCCTCTCTCTTTCTCTCACCTCACTTACTCTCTTTCGTAGCATGTTATTCTCCCTAGCACATTTTCATGTGATGATCTTCCATCTGTTCTGGCAGAAAAGGCTGTTGACCCAGCCAATAGTCACGTTCTCGCAAAACATTCAGCTCAGATTTGGTACCAATTTATTGCTAGTCAAGCTCAAGGCCATATAGGAAGGAATTGTTTCAGCCACCGGCTTCCAGGATGAAAACAATACAGAGGGTCCCATTTGCTCAGAGCCAGAAGGCCATTAACTCAACAGAATTGTAAGAGTTCATGCCCTTTTGGCTCTCAACTTGTGATAGTTCTGTGTAGAAACAAAATTCATACCGCACAAACAAATTATTAGATGACGACCAAAAATTATTTTACGGCCAATAAAAGTAATTTTAGGAGGGATTTTTCTGAATCTTTTTTTTTAATTATTACTTCAGTTTTTCATATGTTTGCTCATTCTGTTCTTTTGGTGACTTGTCGCTGCTCTGCATATGGAAGCTAGAAGAGTCATGTGACCAAAATTTGAATAGTTCATCTGTGTTTTGAGCATGAGCATTTAAAGTGCAAAAAGTGGTGGAATATCTGCCAGCATTAGTTTAAAAAAACCACACTCCAGAGATGGGTTTTTTGTCTGGTAAATGCAGCTACTGAAACATTTGAAACTTTTTTTTATTTCACGCTATCTGATACTGTACTTTGATATTTGTCAATTCCAAGGACATTGTTAAAAAGGAAGGCTCATTGTGGCGAGGAAATGATGACATCACAGCTTCACCCACAAGAACATCATTGAAATGGTCAATTATAGGGTGCGTTGGGGTACTAGTAAAAAGCTTAGAAGGTCAATCACTTTTAGGTTGGTCAGTAGGTGCTGTACATGTTCAAATCGTTAATCTTAAATTCATACTCCACATTTTTTTCTAAAGAAGGCTGGTCTTGCTGAGTAAGGTGGAAATAGAATGAATTAGATGTTGTACCTCAGATAACCAATAAATGAAAAGAATGTGATCTCTTTTAAATATATATAAATGAGTTGATTCATAGTATCCCTTTGTAAATTAACTGCTACTGAAAAGGTAAATAAGGTTTTTTTCTTTTAAAGACAATGTGGTTATATAAACCAGTTTGGTTATTCAATTTCTGATCACATTACTAAATTCCTGAATTCATGTGAATATGTCTTTTAAGACTGATAGTGTGACGTAGATATATTTTTCTCAGAACAATATTCACACTACCCCAAAATCTACTAGACGATAACGCCATCCATTTTGGCCCTGCCCTGCTTTGGCAGACACTGCCACACCCTCCACCTGGGAGCAGAATTTTTGGGGAATATCTCACTTCATCTCTTCATCTCTTCATCTCTTTATCTCTCTGTATGTCTATATCCCCCCCCCCCCCCCTCTATGTTTCAAACAGATGAACATCTTCAGTTTTACGTGACTTACCATATATATATATATATATGCATGGCCAGTATGTGAAATGTAATTTCAGACAAACTTTAATTTTTGAGTTGCCAAACCTTGCCAGTAACAGCATTTTCATTCAAGAGGACAAAATAAAAGTCATGTTACAAGAACCACGACCTGTTACACCGATGCCAAAATTCAAAACTCACACTTGTCTTAAGTCTTACATTCAAATTTTAGAAAATATTCATCCCTGACTATTTTTGCCAAAGTAGTTCATTGGCCCAATTAACCTGCTGAATTATGAAGTACATGATGATCATCCCGTATTTCCACACTGAGGGCAAAGTGCCAGATTAGTTCTAGCTGCACTGCCCATGGCAGTAAAGCGGTTAACACTGTCTGGGCGGTCTGGATCATTGCGTGATACACGCACTTGTTGTGGAGTGGTTTGAGGCCAAGATGGGGGAAATTATCAATTAATGAGAAATTATGTGGTAGATATTTGGCTTGTTTTGACGCCTTTTTCTGATTATTACTTAATAGGAGGTGTGAAGGAAACACCCTCAACCTGTGGTGCTAAAGATTTAATGTAAGTGTGGGCAGGGGCAGACTCAGGATTCTGTAATGGTGGAGGGGGCACAAATTTGAAGGGAATACAATTCTGACAAGCAAAAACTTGGAAATGATCATCACATTTTCTTTTGCTAATTCACTAACAATCTTTTTGACAACCAGTCAGATTCTCCAGATGCCTTTTTGAAAAGCAGGGGTTGAAGGGGGGGGGGGGGGTTCCTTCAACTCAACTCTATTTTGATCATTTCTTGATTCTCAGCATGTGTGAAACCATCCAACATGCAAAGTAACTCTTCTCCTTCAATATTTTAAATTCACATAGCTTCCATATATACATGTTTATATATAGGTGCTAATAATGTCATGAATGTGTTTGAAAGTCTGTTGTTGATCCTTCATTCCTCTTCTGTTAACACTAAACAAGAGAGGGCGTGTGTCTAATTATTACACAGAGAGATAGCTGCGCAGATGTTAAGCTAGATACAAGAATCAAATATAAACTTGCCTTCCAAGCAGCTGTGATACTTCCCAGAAAAGACTATTACACAGAAATAGATATCCTTCGTCATGACGTATGTATCAAGGAAGCTAACAAATACAGCTAGGGATTAATAGCTAGTTTTTTATTTGCGTGAATGGATCATCATTTAATCCATTGACTATGATTAAATTATTCAAGTTTGACATCATACTGGAGACATTGATCAAATAGATAACCACTGGAGAACACTCTAGGATTAAATAATAACCAAACCAAATTTTTGCCTCTCTTCTTAGCAGTTTGGAACTTGAGTAAACCATCAAACTTTGTTTTAATATTCCCCCCTGCTAAATCGCAATATATTCCTCTCATTATCAGCATTATTTCATGTCTTTTTAAATTTTCCCTAGTTTATTAACAGATTAAATGTGCTTTGTTTTTCTATGTATATTTCAATACCATTTTAAATCCATATGGATGCATATGGACACTGGTCTCATTACATTTCTGACAGTTTTATCCCTTCTTTCATTGGCATTATTCACCCCTCTGTCTTGACTTGGATCAGTCCAAAAGCACTTCTTCCAACTGGTTGCAAGGAGATTTACTTTCCTCCAGATGCCCAAATATGGTAACAGTGCTTCAGCCAATTATTTCACTCAACTGCATATCACTGAGCCTCAGCAAGCACTGCCTACACACATACACTCTAGAGATGTGTATGGTGTGCATACATACAGACTGTTGTGTGTGTATATTTCTTTAAAAGTTGGGCGGGTTCTAAAACATGCAAATGTTTCTGATTGGATAAAGTATAATGCATTATGCATGAGATGAATTAGAGGTGTGTCATTGGTTGTTAGTTTTGCCACTGGAAAATTTCAGTTTGATGGAATGTAGTGGTGTGGATTGAGGTCAAAAATCAATGTATCATTGGGTCACTGTCTTGTGTTTGTACATAAATTATATTAAATTGATTGAATTCATGTCTATATTTGTATTCCTTTCCCCCTTTTATTTGGTACATGTCCTTATATAATTTATTTTTAGTGAAACAAAATTTTGTCTAAATTCATCCCTCTCTGTCTCTCCTACCAAACTTTCTCTTTTTCTTTCATTCTCTCTCTCTCTCTCTCTCTCTCTCTCTCTCTCTCTCTTTCATTCTCTCTCTCTCTCTCTCTCTCTCTCTCTCTCTCTCTCTCTCTCTCTCTTTCTCTTTCTCTCCCCATGCTATGGCTTTTGATCTTTTTGTTCCCTTTTTTTCCCATTTCAGTTCATTTCTACTCCAACTACATGTATGTCTTTTTGTCCTCTGTTCTCCTACCAAACTTAGTCTGTGTTCCTCCCATCTCTCTCTCTCTCTCTCTCTCTCTCTCTCTCTCTCTCTATCTCTTGCTATCCCTCCCCTATTCCCCCTATCTCTTTACCATCCCCTTCTCTCTTCTCCCTCCTCCCTCCTCCCTCCTCCCTCCTCCCTCCCTCTTTCTCCTTCTCTTTTAACTTTAATACTGACATCTCCCCCCTCTCTCTCTCTCTCTCTCTCTCTCTCTCTCTCTCTCTCCTCTCTCCCCCTCTCCCCTCTCCCCTCTCCCCCTCTCCCCCTTGCATCACAACTGGCTGCAACACCATGAATCAGATGCTGAATTCTTTAGACCATACTTTTTCATTATGACATGAGTCCAGTTTATTACACATAGTATAAGTACAAAACAAGGCAAACATTTGATTTCAAAGAGGCAGATAATATAATTCATAGATAAATAAGATATTTAAAACCAACTGAGTGAACAAAGTTTTATATTAGATATTTCTTCGTCACTTCAGTTTCATATTTTCTTTATTTTGGTCCCTTGTTTGTTTTCCAATATCAGTCTTGACACTTATACTACAATTAATACCCAAATACACATCACTTCAGAAAAATGTACTTTACAACAACATTACAATAATAAACAACGTAATCATAACATTTTGCTAGTGGACCCTTTCTATACTCTGTTGCTTTTGTCTGATGTCATTAATTCTCATCGTATTCTTTCGTCTTTCACTTGTTATTATTGCAAATTACCAATAAATAAACTCCCTCGTTCTGAAAGAATACGAAAATGATATTGCACCGTTTCTCACGTATAAATGCAGCAGTGAAGAAGTTTTTTATTTAAAAAATGAATACTAAACAATGAGCCAAGGTTAAAAATTATTGCCAAGAAAAGATGGGATAGGCCTTTCTCGTATCCTCTTTGGGCAGACAACACCGGTGGTAGCCTGCAAACACATCTCACGTAGGCAGTCCTCCTGGATGCCTTTACAATTCTCTGGACAGGTCCATCCTGCCAGAAAAGCATAAGCTCCGCCCGTCTGCAAGCAGGCGCTGTTCTTGCGCTTCTTGGAGCAGAAGACGTACTTCTCTGACTGCAGCCATGAGCAGCGGCCTGTGCCGTCCATGTTGGGCACACAGACACTGTACGAGGTCTCACAGTCATCTACCATGTACTGACGAGATGCTAGAGGGTTGTAGAAACAGTCTTCTGTCCTCCATAGGTTTTCAGCGTCGCTATGAACCTCATTGCCTCCCAGGAAGGGGTTCATATCAGGGCGGATTAGGGAGTGCGTCTCATTGACCTGTGGAAAAAAATCATATTTGTGATTATCATTATTGAAGTGTTAGCATTGTACTTCACAGTGTAATATGATCCTTGTTCTTTTTTTTTTTTTTCTTTTCTTTTTGTTTCATTTTATTTTTTACTTTTAATTTGTGTTTTTTTCTTGGGGGGGGGGTGGGGAGGAAGGGGTTTCTTAAATCATTTTTTTGTTTCAAGATTTGTTTCATTCCACACTGTTATAACCTATATTTTGTTGAAGATGATGAAAATCACATTAAAATATTCAGTGTAAACTTATGATCCATTTAGAAAGTAATAAAAATACATAAAAAAGGTAAATGTGTTTGCTAACTTAACAATAAGATGAAATTGTCATATTGAAATACAAAATTGATTTGTGATTTATGAAATATTATTGTCCTACATTTTTGTAAAGTGTCTATCATTTTGTCCTTGAATCCCTTGACTTTTGAGTGTCTACCATGTACAGGCACTGCTGCTAGAGGGCAGCATTCCTGTTTAGAGCTTTCCCTATTTGGAGTCACACAACAATGACAGGAATTGACATTGTGACCTCAGCAACTGAACTAACATAGGACATGTTTGTAATAATACTTTTCTAATTACTTAAACATGTGAATGATGTCAAAGATGACATTTGTAATTCATAGATAAGCACATTTCTTGGTCATGTTAGATTCATTCTTTCTGGCTCTAAGTTGTAAGAACATTAAAGTAGTTCAGCCTATTTAGCCTTGCCAGATAAGCTGAGCAGAATTGTGAGGGGGCCTTTTAATCGGGGGGGGGGGGGGGGGCTCATTAGTCCATCTCTCAATTAGTTTTGTTTTCTTTAATGACATTTAACCCATGGCTTCTCAACATTCATGGACTACTGCTTTTTTCCCGATCTCTCAAGCTTGGCACATAGACCATTCAAATCTATAGCCAATGGGTTAAAGCTAGTATTGCATCTTTATTCAATTAATGGCACTTGGAAATAGAAGTGATGATTTGCTTACCCTGCATTTATCACAGAAAAGTCCATAAACATTTTCTACACCTTGTCTCTGGACAGATGTAAGGCTAGACCATGGCATAACAGCATCACAAGATCCAATATGGAGAACGTTGCCATGGGAACTCCCTGTAATGAAGAAAAGCATATGTAATATTGAAGTTTGTTCAGAATGGAAAATATTATGCTTAATACATAATTGACACTTTAGGATTATGTGCTTTTTTTGGCATCCATTCACTTTCATAATGAGCCTCAAGCATCTCTCCCTCTCTCTCTCTCTCTCTCTCTCTCTCTCTCTCTCTCTCTCTCTCTCTCTCTCTGTTACCTCTCGTGCTATCTCCCTCTTACCTCTCCTTCTAACCTCTCCTTCTACTCAGTATATATGTTATTGTCTCCCTTCTCTCTCCGTATAGTTCATTTGCTTCTATTCTCTAAAACTTTCTCTTTATCATTCTTTCTTTCTGTCTCTCTTTCTCTCTTTTTTTTTTTCTTTTCTTTTATATCCATCTGCTTTTTGCTAGTTATCCACTATATACATATCTGCTTGTACCCCCCCCCTCTCTCTCTCTCTCTCTCTCTCTCTCTCTCTCTCTCTGTAGTTATGATTGTTTAACTTACCCATGATGAGGTAAATGACCCCTGGTTTAAGATGAGACTCTCTACAGCTCGGTCTGTCGAAGGCTACTGTCAGACCCCCTCGCTTAGTAGCGATGAAAGAACTTGGTGACTTGAAGAGACTAACCACTTTCACAGTCATATCATCTTTGACTCGTCCTCGTAATACTGTAAACATGAAAATATCATTAAAAAAGGGGTTATATCAATTGTTTAAACCATATTCTCTGTTTTTATATTATATTAAAAACACACTGTACTCTTTTGGATAAAAATATTGACTTTTAAACACAATATGATTTATTGAAAGATGCACATCAATATTTGTTATGCTGCCCTTTTGTAGGTCAAAATAGTTTATGTGATATAGTTTGAAACAAGATACAATTTACAATCACTGATTTAGTCAGAATAAATGACAATGGTTGTCATTAAGCACCTGTACAATTTGTTTACTCATATAAATCCTTCTAAACTCTCATTGCTTCATTAAAACATTTTTTTAAAGACATTTTTCGATTTTGTTATTTATCTTTTAAACAAAAATTGGTTTCATTATGATGATGGCATTAAGTTGACTGTATAATGGCTGAAGTTCCTTCAGGAGCAGCTATTTTACTTTTATTTTTTCAAAGACATATTTCCCGTTGTTTCCTGCACACTTTAATTAATTAATCTGTCACACATTTTGTTCTTAGATTTTTTAAAAACTTACCAATCTCTGCATCACAGTATTGCTGTTGAAGATGCTTAGCTGGACACGATGAGCACGGTGATGATAAAGATGATGCAGTCATCATCACCGTCATCATCACCACCGCCGTTAGTACAATATTGATGAAAGCCACGAGTGGAGACATTTTCTGTTTTTAGTGTTGTCTTGAACTTTCCTTTGAAAATAAATATCTTCAGTGTGATGTTACGTCCCTTTGAATGAAAGGAGATGCCTTATCACTTGAATTTATCAAATGTGCCAGCAAATTGTCTTTGCTGTAAAAGACTAATAGATTGTCCAGTGGATGCTTTGCTTGAAACTGAAGCTTAATTTTCTGTAGTTGAGCGTGGATCCAGATGTGAGAGCAATAAATCTAAATCTGTAGATGTTAAGTGTTGCTGTTGATCATGTAGCAAGCTATCGAATGTCATCAATCTTGAGAACGAGTGACGATTTATACTCCACGACGACGTCTCTCTACTCACTGCCTACGTATGATTACATCACAATGCGAAGTTGATGATCCAAATCTTACTAATGAAATCCCACTTAATGAGTGATCAGCCAAGTATGTCCTTTGTCTTAAAAATAGCTCCCCAGTCCCGCCTGCCTTCCGGCGGGCGATATGAATTCCAAACAAACAAACAAACAATGTGAGATATAAAAAGAGTCAAATTTATCACTTATGGCACGAGACGGTAACCAAAACACACGTTCCTGAGGTTTGACGTTTGGCCTAGGAGTCAAGAAAGATTATTGGTTCCCTGCTTGAGGTCCTCCAGCTCTATGATTGGATGATGAGGTCATCTTACTACCACTGGAGAGCATCTACCAGCCCTTCCTCCTCCTTCCGCCTCTTTTCTTCCTACCACAACAGCGATTCATACTAGTCTCTTAGTCCAGACTGTATAGATTCATGTGAAGCTTGTACAGGTGTGTTTAAGATCGTGATTATTTTTGCAAAGGAATTGAATAAACAATATGAACATGTCTTTCCAATGGCTTGAAAATTGAAATTATTTCATATATACAAAGATATCTCCCTCTATTGAATACAAAACTTATCATCAGCACCAATACTGTGGAAAGCAGAAGAAACAAAAGATATGCATTTTTTATTCAGCAGTATTATCACAATATTGTTGAGCTGTTAAGATTTTCCATTTTATATATTTTATTTCAGGTTATGATTATTGTTTGCCAAGATAACCTCAACATCAATCGACATGTAAGCCAAATAAGAAAAAGAATAATGATTTGACAGATTGTCATTCATGGAGTTTGTTGTACACTCAGCCAAGATTCACTTAAAGTGAAAATTGTTTACACAAATGTGTCAAAATATTAATGTTATCACATAACAACTGTACTTTGTGAATTTACTACGTGACATTCCAACATTCCTTTGGTTTGAAACCTGCATGACAACAAAGTTAGAGGTTGCGCCGTTCATAGGTGAAAACATCATTTTAGTCAAGCCACGAGCCGAAAATTTCAGCTATGTTTTGGAGCCCAAGTGAGAGTCTCCTCTTACACCAAAGAATGATGCGGTTTCCTCTCCCTGCGTTCTATTCCAACCGCAATCAGCCGAGGAATGGGAGAGTATCAAAAGGGTCAGATAATGTTTACAATTTTCATTATCACAATGGCATTCCTGAAAGAATAGGTGTAAAAATATTATTATTTTCCTTAGTTTTTATCTTTTTTTCCCCCCTCCTATTTTGATGTTTTCTCATCCTGTGAGAATTATTTAGAAAAAAATCTCAATTTTTATTAAATTATCTATAAAAAACAAAGATAGATTAAACAAGAATATTCTTTAACAGCTGCCTATTGAGTGTGAAATTATGATTCCACAATTTGTCAGGATATTATGCATAATTTCAGTTATAAATACAGGAGCTGTCCATATCTTCATTTCATACTGAAATGTCTCAGATCCTTTTCAATGTGGAACCACTTTCATTTTCAGATTCTTTACATTCTGAAGCTGTCAAGCCTATTTTACCCTGAAGTGATATGTTTCATGTTTTACATTCCTGGTGTTGGTAGTATAAATAAAGAATAAGAAAACCTGCCTTTGTGCTACGGATATTAAAGAATAACTTTTCCTCCATTTTTTTTCAAAATTGTAAACCTTTCATTTCAAAAGGCATAGCCTTCATAGCTAGATAGCATAAATATTTCCCATAAAATCCACAAAGAATGTGTTCGTGTTTAAAGCATCATTTTTTGTTCTTTGAGAAAAAAATGAAAAGAAAGAAATTAGAATATAACATCTGCCAACCACCATATTGAACACTGCAATGATTTATTTTAGAATGAACTAATATTTTCATTTCATAAAGTCACAATTGTTACAAACAGTATAGTCTTAAAGGGAAGGTCCAGGGTATAATTTGGATTGTTGTACTGCTTTAGAGGCAGCATTATTTCCTTGTCATATATAATGATCATATTCTTCCCATCAGCAGTGGAAATAAAGGTTTTTGTTTCTTTTTGGGTGCCACTTTCAAACCAACCAAGAAGTTTGTGAAAGGAGTCATACTTTGTTAGTAGAAGAAACATGAAAATAGAGCAAGACAGAGAGAGAGAGAGAGAGAGAGAGAGGGGGGGGGGTGGGAGAGTCCAGGACACATGAAGAACATGTTGATGCATCTATTAGACCATGGATAGTAGGTCTGTGATTAGACATTCTAATAATGTATTTAAAAAACAGAGAAAATCATCAGTGATCAGAAATATAATGCATTTGGCAAAATATGTAACTTGATGTCTGACACAATAACACTAATCTTTTCATAATCTTATCATAATCTTTAACCCTCTCAGTTGTGGCATGTATGACGTTGGATTTCTTGAGCTTACGTGATTATGATTTAATTTCATCATATAAGGGACAAATTTGTCTTTCTTCCCCCTAACCATGGGTCAGTGATGACATCCTAATCAGTCGGTGATGACATTCTAAGAAGGCGGGATGATAATTACTGGGTCAGATTACATTGGTCTACTCTAGCAGAACCTTTCCGTCTCCCATCACCATATTCACTGGTGCAGAGCGTCAATCATAGTTCTCTGTCTCTATTATCTCCCATCCAGGGGCGTAACCAGAATCCTTTACAAATGGAGAGGGGGGGGGGGGGCAAACTTATGTAAATTCTCTGAAAAGTCTCCCCCCCCCCCCCCCCCATTTTTAAATTTAAAATACATAAGATGTCTTTAGGGTATAATATTGTAAAGGGTGTGCAAGAATCAAATTTGAGGGCACCCTTTTTGTTCGTTAATGTGATTTACTGGGGCACAGACAAGTATCCCCCTGCCCCGAGCTCCCCCTAAAATCCACCAATGCTTCTGTTTAAAACCGGGTAGCAGTAACTAATAGTGTCAATGAATTGAGAGGAAAAAGCTTGCTGTGTCCGTGTAGATATATGCCCTTTTGCCTCTAAGTTTCATGCATAGTAGCCACTTTGTCTGCTGTTTTCAATTAGTTTTGCAATAATCGTCTCACCTCATTTAGTGATGATTATTATCCAATTAAGATGTACTTACAGGAACTATGGTCGATTAATCTGATTGGCTGCTTGGTAAAGAGGTAATGAATATTGTGTTTCCGTAGTGATGTGATTACATCCTTCCAGTAGTTCTGTCAAAGTTATATTTTTGTGTTTCTTTGAATCCTGCTGCTCTTTTAATCTTATATATCATTTCATTAAGTAATTACTTGCAAAAGGATATTGGTATTGTTTTTTTTAATAAGTTTGCAGGCACAAACCCTTGTCAGTCGTTGTGCATAAAATTGTCTGCAATATGAGACTACAATATGCTCTGTACTCTGCCGCTCCTAACAAATTTTTTCACATAGCCAGAAACTGCAAGATCTAGGCTCTGCTCAAGGCCTTAGGCATCATGGGAAAGGGTCAAATTGGAGTCTGTGCTTGCAGACTACATGGATATTGATAAACTGCTATGAGTTGTTACTGCCTTTCTGGCTCTTGAGATGATCATCAAATTAACCTGGAAGGAAATAGGAGACTGGTCTCAATCAAGGGAATAAAACAAACAAGGAAAATAAGGCGCAGATAAATCTTCGTCAAATGTTATTATGAAAGGAGTGGCAGTTATTCATACTGTTTCAAATGTTTTTATCTTCTTACCGGATGTGGATGCAGACTGCATAAACACCATTTCCTTTATTGAGAAAGATTTGTAAAGAAATCATTTGTTTTATATAATTAGTTATAGTTAATGTTTGTATGATGTAGAAAAGGAAAAATACTCAATGCATATCAAAGATAATTTAATATTTTGTAACTAGTGGATTCTGTAGTGGAATCGCAATAGCCAAATCTCACTAAAACATATTAAGTATTAATACAAGTGTTTGAGTTTCAAGACTACTAGTATTCATTTCCTAAAATCATTAGTATTGAAAATGATATAGATTACAGAGATTCCTTTGATATGTCTCTTTTAGACTGCTTCTCACACCATTTGACTGTTCCCTGTGTAATGAGGAACATCTCATCGAAAGTGACAGGACTTTTCTCTGACACCTTCAAATGAGTAAGATTAGAGGCAGTCAATATAATGAATATCTAATGAGCAATAAAACTGTTGTAATATGACATACTGTAATGAATTATCAATTAATGAATTGCTTATGCATTGTTTTTTTTGTGCACTGGAGTTGTGCCAACAGACATGGGCATCGCGAGACCATTTGCCTGGAAGGGGGGGGGGGCAGTGTCAATTTAGCTTAAAATTTTCAAAATAAACCCCCAAAATGCAAAGAATTCTCTATCAGCACATTTTAAAATTTCACGTTGAAATTTTGATTAAATTGAAAATTGAAAATTTAGTTTGTTTGGAAAGACTACGGGTATTATACTTCCTAAATTCATTACTATTCATAGTTTAATTTTAAAGACAAAAACTTCCTGAAATTCATGCATATTTCACGTAAACCTAGTAGTGATTAGGGATGGTCGACCACCGTGTCAGTTTCAGCTCACCACCCCACACTACCCTCGCCTCCTGACCACAAATGATGTCAAGGAACCACTCACCTGGAAAGAAGAAGTACACTAATATTGCACAAGCTCCGTCGGAAACAAAGAGCGCCCTCTCAAAATTCATGTCCAATAGCCGACACGCTGGTCAAAAAAGTGGAGGTGATGTTTAACACAATCGCAAAAAACTTTCCTAAAATCAACCAAACGCTATTTCACTAGTCTTGTCTATCACCATTTGAAATGAACGATCATTAAAATGACATATCACATAACCCAAACATGCTATGGGATACACAGTTGGCAGGCGCGTAGCCAGGGGGGGGCGGTGGGGGCGGTCGCCCCCCCCCCCCAAAACGCCGGCCAAAAAAAAAAGAGAGAGAAAGAGAAGAAAAAAAAGAAAGAGGACGTAGGAAGAAAAAGGGAAAAGGAGTCGAGAACGGTACAATGAATCGTCAAAGCTTCCGCGCTTCGCGCGGGAAGAGGGAAACTGAGTTCAAATTAAGAAATATGAGTCGGGAAAGGTACAACGAATCGTCTTCTTTTTCTAATAATTTAATGAAACATCAAAGCTTCGCGTGAGAGAGGGGAGGGACTGAATACAGATAAGGATGAAGAGTCGAGAGAGGTACAACGAATCGTCTTCTTTCTCTAATAATTTATTGAAACGTCAAAGCTTCGCGTGAGAGAGGGGAGGGACTGAATTCAGACAAGGATTATGAGTCGAGAAAGGTACAACAAATCGTCTTCTTTCAAAGCTTCCGCGCGAAGCGCGGGAGGGGGGAAACTCCCCCCTCCCTGCACCCACCCCCCTAGGCTTCGCGTGCTCACTCCCGCCCCCCCTAAAATGAAATCCTGGCTACGTGCTTGACAGTTGGGTATAGAAATTGGGCATTGAGTTGCTTTCTCTAAAGTGTTTGTGATTGTGTCGTATATTGTAAGCATCACAACATTATAGAATAATAATATTATTATTATGTTCATCTTTTGAATTTAGATAAGAATTTAAAGACACACAAAATGTAATTTCCACCAAATCCATATTGATATGAATTATTTGTCACCTTTTTAGATGAAAATTGTGCAGAAACATCAAATTATAGATATCTGTAACTTTTATAGTGACTACCATTACAGACTTCTTTTTAAAATTTGCTTAGATTTGTTGTTTCGTCGGTGCATTTATGATATGTTAATTTGTTGCGCTTTTGAAATTTGTATATTACTGATGAAATCCTGCATATCCTGCATACAGCCCTCACAGATATTGTGTTTTATGACTAATCTTGATTTATGAGGCTTCACTAGATTGGTTTCGAACATTAATAATACTGTAGGTGAGGCAAGAAGGAGTGGCTACATAAGCCAACCAGCACAAAGAAATAGAATCCCATTTGAATATCCTCCTTCAAATGTCATAATCTCTTTACAAATTCCAAACTATTTGATAACCTGCATGCATCTCATACAGATATAGGGCTTGATGGCCTCGTCTTGTGGGGTTTCTTTTGATTATCTTTTGAAAATTCACTACAGATACAAACGAGCATGGCCAAGGGTTGGGTAATTTTCTTCAGCAATTCTGCACAAACAAGGTGAATCTTGATTAGATTTCCTGCATTGCATGTCAATTTTGAATGATGTGGAACTCCCTTAATGTTCTCTCTGATTTATGTCATGTTTTCATCATCTTAACATCTAATGTAGCTGGCAGGATAAACATTGCTCTACCAATTAAGTCTGTATAATAAGAAGTTCAGGTGCATGGCACGACTGTCTTTAGATTGTTTCTTTTCTTCAATCCTGCCTGATCACAAGTTTAAAGCGAAGGTTGAGTTCTTGTGAAAGTTGTAGAAAAATATAATTTGTAAGCTTTCTCTTAAGCTTCCTTTTAATGTAAGTTTCATTCTTGAAGTTGGATACAATACCTCTAAACAAATCTCTCCTGAAAAAAGGATTGCTCTTTATATGCCCCCTTAGTGAAAACATGACAAGAAATATCTGAAAAGTTAGGATCAACCATTTATTCCATATGTGTTTAAAGTCCCATATAACAATTTCTGCAAGCAGTGCATGTGACCTTTAGCAAGATTTAGTCAATTTTTTATTGTTGATCATTCCAAAATCTCACAGTATAATTATGTACTACAAATCAACCTTTCCCAATTGCTTCTAGGCAGTTTCTTTTACAATGTAATTACATAACCAGTACCCAACTTTATCTTTAAAGGAAATCTGCTGTCAAAGAAAAAGAAAAAGGGTGGTGCTTCTAATATAATTTAATTAATGATTCAATTATCGTTTGTGATAATGCTTACATGATTCCAGAAGAAAGATCCATTTAGAAAGTGAATATGATACTCTTTTCTGTCAGCACTTGATTGTTCGACTTGTCTTACAATGTGACAATGGGTAATTATTTCATGTTGGAAAATCTAATCTGTTTTCCAGGTGAAGTATGTATTTTTTGGTCATAATGATTTCCAATCAAGTTTAGGAATATGAAATTATCCTACTTTTTCATTAGAAAGGAAAGCATGACAAAGAATAGATTGCCCATCTCCTCTTCTTCTTCTTCTTGAAATACGACCTGCTTCATTGATTGGAGAATTAGAAATCATAAAACAAAATTTGTGTGAAACAAGAAACTAACATCTGTTGTGGTAACCATAACATGTAGTATCAGTTTCTACCAACTTGAAAATGTAGTTGGCAATATTTCATCTTCTCCTGTGGACCTCCTCAAGCCAAACAATTCTTCACTTCTTCACTTACAGCAAGTATGAAGAACTACTTGGTCTGAGAAAGCCCACAGGTGTGGATGAAAGCTTGCCTACTAAGTTGGTAGAAGCTTTAATTATTAAAAGAAACAAAATAGCCACAATCGTTGAAAAATTGGCTCATTATTCATGTATCTGATACGACTTGATAGCACTGCAGGTGTTAGTTAATTATTGTTTGTGTCTATACTGTCATGGGTCGATGGAAAGGACCCATTAATCAGGTGAATATGATACTGGTTTCTGTCAGCATATATTGGACAATGGATAATTATTTCATTTCATTACTGGATGAAAGGAGATGATTATCGCCTTGTCGCCCTTTTCTTTTGTATTTATCTGCATCAGGCTGCATTTTCCCTCTCCCTTTGTTTTTTTTTAAATATTTATTTTTGTATTTGTATTGAGTGAAACTCTTTTCACTTTATATGATGTTTCATCCCCTCATTTTCCAGTACCAACGTCAAACTCTCTTTTTCTCTTTCTCTCTCTTTCTCTCCCTCTCTCTCTCTCTCTCTTTCTCTCCCTCTCTCTCCCTTCTCTTCCCTCTCTTTCTCTCTTCTCTTCCCTCTCTCTCTCTCTTATTTTCTCTCTCTTTCTATATCTCCATTTTTTCATCTCTATTTTTCTTTCAATCTCTTTCTCTCTATCTTTCTATCTCTCACTGTTTAACCATTTTCTATTTATTATTCCCTTTATGTTCTTACATTAATATTCAAATACACTCAGTATATTTGTTTTTACTACATGCAACACATGACCACTGAATCATCATTTTCCCACACCCACATTCTCATGCTCATTCACAAAACATTATCACTTCTGAACCAAAAATGACATTTCTCTGCAAATATTTCCAAAGAAAAAGTCAAGGTTTTATTAGCACCACATACAAAGGACTCCAAATAGTTCCAAGGAATAATCACACCCTGACTACTCCAGAATGAGAGTGCAATATACAATGAGATGGGAAAACTGCGTGGACACAAATCTATTGCCATTGCTTCTGCAATCCGTGAGAGAGTTTGAAGCAAAATCGACAACTTAGATCTTGACTTTTTCGCCTACCATTGTCGACCATGTTTTGCCCGGTCCAGGAGCAATAACAATTAGTGCCAAAGTGAACATGGCTTCTATGGGCGGACTTATTTGGTACCCAAACAATCTGCAATAGAGAGAGGAACAATTCACACCATATACCCCCAAGTATAGGAGCTGACAATAGGCACTAAGGTGAAGGACAAGCGTTTGGGTTCCTAGGAGTTTAACCTGTCCTATTCAGGGTTCGGACTGAGTAAATAACATCATGTTTGGAAGCAAATTTGTGCACGTCATTGGAAGACCCTTTTTACCAATGCATAGAGTATGAACTTACAGGCATGCCGTACCTTTCTGTGCTTGTGAAAGTTTCTTGGATTGAAGTGGCATGTGAACTTACCTATGCATTCTAAAACCTAGAAAATCTGAATTGATGTTGGCATAAATTAAAATATATGTATCAACTTCAAGTTATTGATACATGAATATGAAAATCTTTTGCAGTTTAAATATTCAATAACAAAAAAATGTATCTTTACATTTAGGTTTATTTCATTACCCTCACCAAATAGGGCTGGATAGGCAACAACTATTAATTGGCAGTGCCTTAGATCACTTCATGCTAATTGTAAATGATGTCATTTACTCTTTAAATAGAGCCTGCAGATGAGATGATATCATATTTTCCTACAGAAATACTTTTATATTTATTACATTAAAATGTCTACTAAGAGGCATAAATTTACCATCATCTCATGAATATTTATATATATTGCAATTTAACAAAATGAAATAGTCAAGACTTTGATTCATTCTGACCTGGGTACTATAAATCCATTTCAATGTCAGACTATTCCCTTTAAAAATACCAATACGCTGTAAAACTTCTCTATAATTGGAAGGAAGGTAATGATTTCCAAATCTAAAAATCAGGATCTTCCTAGTTGATCTGAAAAACTTCCGCAAATGTCTAGAGTGGTTTCACCACTTTAACAAAAATGAAGAGGAATTTCAAAGATGATGGGATGTATAGTATTGAGATAAAGGAATGGTATGTAATGAAATGTATAATGAAACTAAAGATGTAATGAGATCTTGATGAAGAAAGAAGTTCCTTTGCCCATGTAAACACATTACTGTATAAGCCAGTATTTTCATAATTAATGAGTGATTTTCAAAAATCAGATGGCCTGAAAGATTTCTAGTCCCATGGGCTGCCGGTCTCATGGGTTGTCGGTCTCATGGGTTGCTGGTCTTATAGGCCGTTGGTCGTGTGTGCTAATATATACTTAGCAGCGTTGAATTAAGCCTTTCATCTCTAGTTTCTTGATGACTTTGAGACACCTCCACCTGAGGAGCTTGGTGGGCTGAACCATGCACTGAGACCGGCAGGTATAGGCAGGCTGGCTCTTCTCAGTGAAGAACCAGATAGATTCTCTGGCATCGAAGCAGTCATCATAGTCCATCGTTTCCTCCCACGCACATTCACCGGTATCTGGGTGGGGCCTGCAGAAGGTATACAGGGTCTCGCAGTCCTGCCCGCCGTATCTGACGGATGGGTAGGGGTTATAGAAACATTCTTTTGGACTCCAGTACCCTGACTCCTGCCCATCTTCTGCCAGGTCACCCCCTATGTATTTGGTGGTACCAGCCCCCTGGATCTGAATAAGACGATAAGAAGAATATTCCAATGTTATCAAACACATCCCACTTAGTAATCCATACCTACTGAGGTATTTCTACCCTGGTTTATAAGGGGGCATTCAACGATTTCTCTAGCCACATAACCATGTAGTACACCCCCATCCTTAGACCTTTTACAAGAGAAAGCTTGGAGCAGTTGTATTCAGAGCAAAAGCTGGTTAGCTAGCTAGCTAGCTGTTCTTACCGTACAGAAGCCACATTGCTCCTCGTATCTGTCCTTGAATCCTCTTCGTTGGTCTGATGTTAGGTTATCAAACCTCATGGCTATCCCATCACATGAAGTGACGACCAGCAGTTCATCTATAACCTTTCCTACAGATCAATGATAAACAAAAAGAAATTGAAAGTGGTCTTTTATCAAAGAAAAATTAAGACCAGTGACAGAACATCTTGTCTGTTTGGAGTCGTAAGAGGTAGCTCACTGACGCATATACTATAGCAATGTGTTAACCTGTTGCTAGTCCCCACATGCAATGTGTCAATGACCTCCTGGCAGACAATATATGCACAGATTATAAAGGCACATATACTTATATATACATCTGAATTCAGAGTGGAGAAACAAAATGCCTGTCTAAGGCTAACACAATACTAAGTCCAAAAAAATCATTAGAAAAAAAAAAAAAAAGATTTCAGAAAAAAAAGAAAAAAAAATCATTTTATTTCACTTTCTGTCTGCTCCTCAGTTCGCTTGTGCTTATTTGCAAAGGTTGCCACTAACTTTTACTACTTTTTTTTCATTATAGTACTGATGTACACGTTGATTCCTCAAAAAATATATATATATATATATATATATATGTATATATATTTTTCTTTCTCAATTTGAAGGTGTTCAGGTGGAGGGCGAAATCACCTATAACTTTTAGATTCACGCAAAAAGTATAAGTGTGTGTAATAACTGAAGATTCCCATTGCCGTCAGACGAATAGGAAAACAAAAAATGTTCACAACATCAGACGCATTCAAATCCAATCTTTTTTTTTGGTGATTGATGGGTATCTCATGAAAAGAAAGCAGTGCTGTCATCAGCCTGCTGGCACCTTAACAATGGTTTCAAATTCAAGATGATTTATACGTGAGTCCCTTTCGAGTACATGTTATTTAGACTAGAACCACTAGTGCATGAAGTTTATCAGTAATAAAATTCCAGGTTTTCTTTTCCATAATGTTTGCACCACAAGGGTAATTGTTGTATAGATCTTGTTCACCATTTTATTACACTCCTGTGATATTTTTTTGAAACTTCATCCATACCCAACTCCTCACCCAATGACTAAATTTGTGAGTTTAGAGATCTATACATGAGCTTTCAGGATTATGAAGAGCAATCGTAGTTAAAGATATATACTGGTAGTAGTCAAATTGTGGTTCAAGGGTTTTGGGTGCAAAATATCCATTCAATATTGCCTTTAGAGGTTTAGATGGCAATAACTCAACCTAAATTCGCAAAAAAGGAGAAATATATGCCCAAATGTTCAATGTTGAAGTGCATTTACGATATCTATCCAGGCCGGATCGATATGATAATTTACCAAATATATCAATTAGTAGGCGGTTTCCGGCAAAATTTGTATCATCACGTATTAGTCAAAACATCTTCTTTCACATGATTGGTAATAAGAGCTTCCATTTCATTTTTTGAGAGGGGGGCATATCCAAAACTTGTCTATACCTTTCGAAGGAGGTTTGAATATAATGTCTATTCATGATAGTCTCAAAGTGTTCTATTTGAATAAAAAGATCTAAACGAAAGAGATATTTTAATCTTCCATCCATGATTTCATCCATCAACAGTAAAAATCTGAAAGGCTTTACACAGAGTACTGCATGTTTACATATTTCAGTATTTCATTGCCAGGTAGAAATTGGATGATTGTTGGGTGCTTACTAAAATTGAATGTGATCTTTAACAGTGTGAAAAAAATAGGAACAAAATGCAGAAAAGTAATTCAAAGTTAACTCATTTTAATTTTACAAAGGTTTTTATGCATAGAAATATTTGTTGTATTATAAAACAGGATTAGTATTCTACTCCTTGTACAGTGCAATTTTTTTTTACAAAGCCTTAGGAAAGAAACTAAAGTGTTTCAAAAGTAAACACCAGTCATGATTCTGGTTAAAAAAAACTAGAGGAAAAAAAAGAAGCAAAACTTGCACAGAAAGAGTTATAAAACACAAAAACAAAAAAAAGTGGTATTAAAGGGATTTGTTGTGAGAAGTACTTTACCTCCTATGACATAGACGTCCTTGAGTTCTGGTACCGCTATAGAACAATCATAGCTTGGAGAGTAGAAGAAGATGTCTTCATCCTCCTTGGCAAATGGTGACTCCTTCAAGGACATGAGGACCCGTGCCCCGTAGCGAACAAAACTACTGTAGGGATGCTGCACTACCTCGTTCTTAGCGTTCACAAAATACCGGGACATGATTTTCACCTTCAGAACTGGTTGAGAGAAAATCAAAACAAAATTAATCAGACTGAATTGTGTATTGAGTGCCAGAAGGGTGTTAACTCATACTTTAAAACAGAGTTATAGCCCCTCTAGCTCCATACATAAAAAATTACTCTTTAAATACTGTATCACCTGGTTATCAACATTGAAAAAGACATGAGATGTGATTATCATCTTCAGAACTATTTTGTAAGGAATAAAAGCACAGAAAATGCTTTGAACAAAAAAAAAATTCTCAGATGGTACACCATCTTTAATATTTCTAGCATGGACCTACTAAGGAAAAAAAATATTTTGTTACAATCTATTGGAGATTGCTTATACCCAGTTATGCATTTTTTTTCCTTTAAATGTGTAATTTGAATACAGTGGATATATGGCAGTTACAGCAGATTTATGTTGTCAGACTCTGTGTGAAAAGTCAGCAAACATTATAGGGAGTGTCATTGTCTTGTCCGAAACCATGCAAATCAATGGAATGTTCTTCCAATGATTCCCTGATTTTCACTCACATCATTTTGCTTGGTGAATAAACATGTGAGTGCAAATTGGGTTAGCAATTATTGCTCCATTAATTTGCCTGGGGCAGCCTCTGAAAGGTAAATACAAAGTTTTGGTATGGGTCGTGACTTTGGATCAAATGAACATATTGGAAGCATTTGCGATCCTACAATATTCAATGATCGCTGTCGCGGTTGAAATCAAGGCTAAAGTGATGAAATTGTGAATAATAAACTCTTTATGTTGTATAGCTCCCTCTCAAGTTTGATATTACTTTAGCTTCAAAGCAATGTTTCTTGTCTAAAATCGACTGATTTTCTATTCCCGTTTGGAAATTATAAATCAGAACTGCATATTCCGAGATTTTCATGGTCGCAGCTACCATTGTATGGCCGTAGGCACTATTTGAAATGTATCGGGAGTACCGATAAATTTGATATTTTAATTTCTTGAAATCCTTAGCGTTTTAGAACCCAATTTTTTAAAAGTTGCTTATTCTAACACTAGGTTTCACAATGGTTATGCAAATTTTAAATTTCATGTTTATGTCAAGTTAAATACAATTAATGTACAGTCTAGAAGGTGGATACAAGAGGGATGCCCCCTCCCAATGCTCCCTCCCAACACCCCTCCTGCCTGTTATCTTATTTCCAGAGGTGGGTGGAGTTTGGGGTGTGACATTTCATTTTTATTTTGAAAAATACTATAGCTGCAATTATCTTTGGATTTTGTTTATATGTGTGTGTGTGTATTCACTATATCTAGGTATTTTGTCTCCTATCAAATCTAAAAATATATGTTTATAAGTTGTATGTAAAAGAAGCCATCATTACCAATAATTGAATTAGTATATTCTCTCAGAAATTGTTGAATATAGCACAATACAAATATTTAGTGATACCTTTACCTGGTATGCATATACTAAAGAATTTCAAAATCTCATCTAATTTGGGATTTAAAATTTTTTAATTGGGGCGACATTTGTCAATTCTAATCAATCCTATGTTTTAGCTGAAACTGTTGCAAGATTATGTCTTTTTTTTAAGATGAAGTTAATTACTGGGCATGCGATTACTTTGAAAGAAACTGTACACAGAATAGGACTACACACATGTGGAATGAAGTTTGGTCAAATCTTTTCAGCAAGTTCTTAGATTTGGAATATATGACTATTTGAAGAACACCCCTTTCCAGGGGTCACTTCTACGATGAGCTGAAGCTGAATCTGAATCTGAACTGATACATCTCAATACTCCTGGTGAAGTAAGAACAAGTCAGACTGGTATGATATCCTTCCAATCTGATGTACATAAAATGAGAGAGATCAGTGAAGTAAGATGAGTGAAGTAAGAACAAGTCAGACTGGTATGATATCCTTCCAATCTGATGTACATAAAATGAGAGAGATCACAAGTCACTTTTCAACTTTACAAGAACTAAACATTTTTTGAAACTCACCTACATCGTCATCACAGAAGCGTTGCTGAGGATGCAGTGATAAACAGGTATGGCTGCACTTGATACCTGAGGAGGCCATCGATGTCTGGAAGTAGCCCAGGATCACGAGGGTCACAAGTAGTGGACCTACAACTCTTATCGCCATGGTGCTGAGTAGATGTGACAATGTGTATCAAGATGAGAGAATATGGCAAAAACCAGGTAAGGCGTTTCTATTTAAAGCAACAAATGAGCAATTTGATCTGGAGAGAGATATATCAATGATGTGAGTGCTTATTGAGCCCCAGCACGTTTTCAGCTAATTATCGAGACCTGGTGCTACCTGAATGAAAAGCTCCCACCGGTATAAGAGTACTACATCATCCGTGTAACAACAGAAGATCGCGGCTATAAATCTTTCATCCTTTGAAGCCCGTTAATAACAGAAAATCGGGGCTATAAAACCTCCATCCTTTGAAGCTGTTAGTAACAGTTGCAATCTATCATGTACATCGTAACAAAAGACAGCTCAAAATAGATGTATTGATACTAATATGATAGTATTTAATACCTGCTACAAACAAATTGAAATATTGTCTGGGACTCCAGAAAGCTTGTTGAAGATTGATCCTTTGGTTCCAGGCTAATGACACAAAGCAATCCTTCATGCATGTGCTACTTACAAATGAATAGCATAAATCCTTTCAGGTAATTTTCCATCCCCTACTCTGAGCTCTGTCTCTCTAAAAATGAACAATATTTGCTGCCGGTGTATGTTGATCCACATGTAGCTGAAAAGTCTGTATTCTTCGCATGGTTGCTGAAGAAGTACAAATATACTTGAGTTATGTTTTTAATGTTTGAATAATTTCCTCTTCAAGTAATCCTAGTCTGGAGCATAAAACCAGAATTGATCAACATTGGACTTTAGCCTCCCGAGTCTTAACCTTCTAGATCTGTCTCGGATAATAGGAACCTAATTGCACTTTATCTTTATGTCAATATTTTTCCAACTCTTTGTATCGTTAACAAAATAAAATCATCAATTGCTGTGATATAAAGACAAGACTATGATATCAAAATGATATTGATAGCACAAAGCATTACTATACTATTTTGGATAGGAAGTGAGAAGGATCATCTACTAGATTTGCTTTATTATGAGTGACAAAAGTTCAGCTTTCCAAAAAGGAAATGGGTGCCTTACAGAGATACACAGGTTTGCAGACAAGGGTACACAAATTATTTTACAATTTTTAAATTCACTGATGAATATTTTTATAGGCCTTGTGGCCTCCTTACGTATGACCTAAAATTTTGAAGAAATTACGAAGCATTTCATTTTTTTGTTTTAATGTAAACTTGTAAACATTTGAAACGTTAGGTCTTCTTGTGGCCTACAGAATGTAAAATTCCATCATGAAGACGTGTCACTCCCTTAATATACATGATTAGGGATGCCATAAAAACTTATGTGCCAGACTCAGATTTCTCTGGAAATTGTGATCTGTGCCATACTGGAGAAATTATCTGTTCAGAGTCATAGGGCATATTGACTGAGTGAACACCCTTCTGCAGGCTCCAAACAGTCAAAACATCACCTAAAAAGTCATATTTGTTACCTGCAATTGTCAAGATCGACGTCCTACTATTTCTTTTGAGCAAAATGTATAAAAGAATCTTAGAAAATGTAAAAGAGTAATGCTGACACTCACCTTGGCAATATTTCCAACCACTAGAGAGGTACCAGAAGAAATGAAAAGCTTCTCAACTCTACCGGAAGTATAGGAGAAATATTTTTCTTTTCCCTTTCTCTCTGGATTGGAGGCATTAACCAAGCAAGATGGTAAACACTTCACAATCTTACTGTACCCTTTTACTGCATTGTAAAGTGAGTATTGTGTTGGGGTAACTGCTATAGTGTTGAATGAGCATTGTGGGGCTTAATGTTCTCTTATTGTTAGGTGCTATTATAGGGCAAGCTTTGGATCCTTGTGTAACAGTGTTTAAGAATAGTGGACAAAAGATGCTTTAAGTACTTGTTTGTGTACCACTTTTCAAGGTACACCAATATTTGAGGGGTAGTTTATTGGCTTGGGCATAACTGTTGTAGGATTTCATTTTTTTTAATACCAGATTTACAGGTCATTTTAACAAGATGTTGACAACCACTGGGTTTAAATATGATTGATAAAGACCCATTTCATACTGATGATATTATCACAGTCAACCTGTACTTAATCTGCTCCCCATTCAAATAAAAAATGATGTTAATATTAATAATACCCTTTCATAATGCTTACTTCTATATTCTTCCATGCTTCTCTCCTACTTTTGCCCTCATTATCACATGCCCTATCAATACATGGCATAATATTTTCATTTATCATACAGGGATGTTTCTTATTGGCTGAATTTGAAAGTTATCGTGAGGTACAAATTGTGTCTTGACTGCCATTTCTTGATGCAAATTGAAAATTCTCCCATCTTTATTCAGATTTAAAAGGGAATGAAAGTGGTATATAGGTCGAATTAGACCCTGGGGGGGGGGGGGGGGGGGGGGGACGAAGGCTGGCTTTTCTCCCCACAAAGAAATTATGACAACTTAAATTAGGTGAGAGATCTTGAGACTCCTCTTTTATTGCTGAAATAGTTTGACTCCCCACCTTTGTCCACTTTCTTCATTGTTCCTGTACTCTTCTCCTATTCTCTGGGTCCCTTTCAATGTATTTCCCTAGATTCTCTTCCCCCCCCCCCCCCCTTTCCCTTTTGTCTCGTACATCCACTGCTCTTCTCTATTTAATTATTTATAAATTGCACTCTCCCCCTCCCTATCTCACTCCCTTCTCCCCTTCCCCTTGCTCCCTCACTCCCTCGTTCCCTTCTTCTCTCTCCCTTCCTCTCTCTCTCGCCACTTTATCTTTCTCTATTCTTTTTATATCCCTGACATCTACCTCTGTATCCATCCATCCATCCACCTTTATCTCTATCGCCATCTCCTATCCTATCTCTATTTAAAACAAAATTACTGTCTGTTTTTCTCCCTATCTCTCCAATGTTATGTCTCTCCCTCACTGTCCTCCCTCCATCCATGCACCCCCCCCCCTTCTCTCTCTCTCTCCCTCTCTCTCTCTCTCTCTCTCTCTCTCTCTCTCTTAGCCGATGAGTGATACTGTGATGGCATATAACAGTTGCTGTACAGTATACTGAGTCATATTTCACAGGGATTTAGATTTTCTTGTATTTTCTGCAAGTAATCAATTAGCTGATTTCCTGACAAACAATGCTTTATGCCATTGATTACGCCAATGTAGTAACAAAGTTGGCATGGTAACCAATCCAGTAACAGTTTTTCATGGAAATATCCAAGGTAACCCGATAAATATTTCTTATTTTGTTCATCATCATGGAAAGTGATGAATTGTTTGAAAGGTTTGATAATTACAATAATGATTTTGGGGAAACAACAACACAAAGATTCATGACAGCAAATTGTGATCTTTGAGTGATATAGTCTGCTGAGATCTATAGTGTGTTACATGATACATTCTAACACAGATGGAGTGCCCATGGTCACTTGATACTAATACTACTTGTGAGCCATGATTGGTCTATAGTTATCACGGGTGACTGCTATCATAGATGACCATGGTCACTTGATACTAATACTACTTGTGAGCCATGATTGGTCAATAGTTATCACAGGTGACCGCGGTCACTTGATACTAATACTACTTGTGAGCCATGATTGGTCAATAGTTATCACAGGTGACCGCGGTCACTTGATACTAATACTACTTGTGAGCCATGATTGGTCAATAGTTATCACAGGTGACTGTGGTCATTTGATATTAATACTACTTGTGAGCCATGATTGGTCAATAGTTATCACAGGTGACCGTGGTCACTTGATACTAATACTACTTGTGAGCCATGATTGGTCAATAGTTATCACAGGTGACCGTGGTCACTTGATACTAATACTACTTTTGAGCCATGATTGGTCAATAGTTATCACAGGTGACTGTGGTCATTTGATACTAATACTACTTGTGACCCATTATTGGTCAATAGTTATCACAGGTGACCACGGTCACTTGATACTAATACTACTTATGAGCCATGATTGGTCAATAGTTATAAGGGATGACCAATGGTCACAAGCTCATTGGTTAGTGCAAGCTGATAAATCCTATTGGAGGAGGTTCAGGTATCTGGGTATTTCTATCTTATTGAAATGTTATATAATTATTGAGATCTTTCACCTTTAATCAATTATGTAGATATTACAATTCTTTATGCTTTGTGATCAACAGAGTGATCAAATGTTCATATTTATTTACTATCAGATTCAAACAAATGTCCTCTCTCAATTCATCTATTCTTCCCATGCTTTCCTGTACATGCTCTGTCATAATTGTTCTGTTTTCTTATCATTCTTATCATTCCTTCTATCAGTGCTGTCATTTGAAACAAGCTTACTCTCCACATTGTTGAGGAGGACTCTCTCTCTCTCTCTTTCTCCCTATCTCTCTCTCTTTTTTTTCTCTCTCTCTCTATCTCTCTCTGTCTCTTTCTTTCTTTCTTTCTCTCTCTCTCTCTCTCTCTTTCTCTCTCTCTTCCCCTCTCTCCATATCAACCTCTTTCACATTCTCTCACTCTCTCCTTTCTTCCGTCCCCTCCTTCCCCTCTCTCACACGCTGTCTCTGTGTCAACTCTTTCCACTGTCACATCATCACTGTAATTACAAGAAACATTGCCTGCCATATATTTCATTTCCTTCACATGAAGAGTATATAGAATATTTAATAACAAAAGTTTTACATACAAAAGATTGCACAGCTGCCAAATGGTGAAGTAAAGACATCATGATTGTAAAGATACAATCAAGAAAACATTCATATACATGCTCAATAAATTATTCAACATTCAGAAAGAGATAATGAAATAATAAATAAGACACTCTTGCATAGAGAGAAAGACTATTTTCCTGTCCGTGAGTGAAGGTTGAAAGAGAAATTTGAATGTAAAATCTGCACACAAAAAAGTATATGAAACTTTAAATGGGTAGAAGCACTGACTTGGGAGCAAAAAGAAATTGTGTACAATATAAAGTTGTGTTTTTTCCTCTTGGTTAGTCATTATGAATTTTATATTATTTGTGTAGCACTCTTGAAGAAAACATTAGTATTTGCAATTGCATCAAAATAGACTTTAATGTCACAATCTTTTTTAAATTTTGAAGGGATGCGTTGTACATGCTATATATGACAACTATATCAAGTAATTTAATTATGTAATGATCATGTACACAATATAACAATCAACCTAGTTATCCTGGGTTATTTTGAAATAATATAAGTTTATTTTTCAGTTCTAGCACTTATTGCAGCATGTTTTGAACTGAGGTAAAAACCAATATTTACAAATCATAAAATCAAAGACCCTGTTTCGCAGCAATTTCCTTCAAAATAGTGAACATAATCTTGGTTTTTCACATTATTGAATACTGATAACTGTCTAAAATAATATTCTTTTTTTTCTTCAAAAATATTTTGCTAGGATTGGGGCAATCAATGACATTGCCCTTGATTAGTAATAAATACTTATTTTCTGAATACTTTGTGAATGTTCAGAGGTAGAAGTTTTTATATTGTCCAGTATAACAAACAATAATTTGACATAAATTCATATCATAAACAATAAACAAAAAAATTAAATAGAATGAAGTGAAATAAGATCATAGAACTATAAATACATAATTTTGAAGGTGGTAATTTTTACTAAAATGTATCATTAAATTTGACCAAAAAATATTACAGTGATAAAGATATATTTATCTCTGCCTGCAGGTATATCTCAATCACTGGAACCATTTCCTTTTAATCCAATGACTACTTAATTCTCATATAATATTAACCATTGTAAACAAATTCTTACATTTTATAGACAAGAATGTTGCAGTGAATGAGTCTACTCTAAGAATGAAAAGAGGACCATGGTTGCCACACACTTGATAAAAAAGTGAATACATCCAATAAAACCTTGACAATATCTAATCAAATAGGGCTGATAGCGCTGCTAAGATCTCCGGTGATTCAGTAGGAGGAACCTCATCTATGGTGTTAGGATCAACGGTTCGTACAGCCTCCAAGGCAGCTTCAGGCTCAAACTCTCTGACAGTGTCTCTTGAGTTGCAGGGTGGCATCTTCCTGGTGGCTTTCTTGCACTTGTACTTGAGTCTCCTAGGCGTGAGGTCCTTACATTGCTCAGGGCAGGTCCAGGCAGCGAGACCGATCTCTGCGAACTGCATCAGTTGCCAGTTGTACTCTCTCTGGCGGAAGCATTGCTCGTAGGCCTCTCCACCCTCCCATCCACAAACGCCATCTTTTTGATGGACGCAGTAGGCATGTTTGGTCTCGCACTCTTCGCTGCCATAAGTTACGGAAGCAAGAGGGTTATAGAAGCACTGTCGTTTGCTCCACAGTCCAGAGCTCATTTCGTCAATGATCTCGTCACCTCCATAGTAACGTTGGACTGCTGACCCAAAGACCTAATCAAGAAAGAGAACATAACAATTTGATTAGATATGTATGTACTTTACAATTGCTATTCACAAAGGTATATGATTATAGTTGAAGCGAAGGCTAAAAGTGAATTACATATTTATACTATATTGCTTATTCTAAAATCTAAAAACAACTTTTATGCAATATCGGAATCTACAATTTTGAAATGATTGATTAGGAATTTGAACACTTTTAAAAAACTGTGTCTTACTCTGTTTCCACCAATGCATCAACTTCCCCATCC